CTTCTTCTTCTTCTTCTTCTTCTTCTTCTTCTTCTTCTTCTTCTTCTCCTTCTCTTCCTCTCTCTCTCTTCCTCTCTCTCTCTAAGTTTGATGAGTTTCCTTGTAGATGCTTCATTACCAAACTAGGTGATGAAGTGCACTGATAATGTTACTAGTTGGGTAATGAAATGTTTGCAAGAAAACCACCAAGTTCAGAAAGCACCAAGGATCCCACAGTCCTCCTCCTCCTCCTCTTTTCCAGTTTGCAAGCTGTTACTGAGTCTGAGTAATGAAATGTCTACAGGGAAACATTCAAGCTCAGAAAGCACCAAGGACACCACAATTCTCCTCCTCTTCCTTCTCCCAGCCTCCTCCTCATCACATCCATGATGGTAGGTTTCTGCTAATGCAAATGAATATAATCATAATATTTCTCTGTTTGAGGGAAGCATACTATTTAGGATTCAGGAAGTAACATTTTTGCCCTATTTTGCAATAGTCAGGATGTATTTGGAAAACTATAACCAATACTCTATATTTTCAAAGGCGCATTAGTAAACTAAATTCGGTCAGCAGGAGGTCAGCAGGGCAGTGGAGTAGACCAGAAATCAGGTTCTGTAAGAAATGGTATAGTTTTCCCAGGGAAAAGAATTGATGATATTCACTTTCCTTTCAAATATTTGAAAGAATATAATGCAGAAAATGATGTGACAAGACTCCTTCAATGATTGTTGTTGTTGTTGTTAGTTGCAAAGTCATGTCCGACCCATCGCGACTCCATGGACAACATTCCTCCAGGCCTTCCTGTCCTCTACCATCTTCTGGAGTCCATTTAAGCTCACACCGACTGCTTCAGTGACTCCATCCAGCCACCTCATTCTCTGTCGTCCCCCGCTTCTTCTATTGCCCTCAATCTTTCCCAGCATTACGCTCTTCTCCAGTGAGTCCTTCCTTCTTATTAGGTGGCCAAAGTGTTTGAGTTTCATCTCCAGGATCTGGCAGGGTAACAGTCACGGTTCATCTCCTCTAGGACTGACCGGTTTGATCGTCTTGCAGTCCGAGGGACTCACAGGAATCTTCTCCAGCACCAGAGTTCAAGGGCCTCCATTCTTTGGCGCTCAGCCTTTCTTAGAGTCCAACTTTCACAGGCATACATTGCAACTGGGAAATCCTTCAAGGATTGGGGACCCCGAAAATAATCAGTGGAAATAGCAGAAAAATGTGTATGATTGGATATAAAGAGACACCAAACAAGGCAGGATTTTAGGCAGGGTAGAAACCAACTGACGAGATAGCAGACTGTCTCCCACCAAATCATGTTAGCTTAGCTGCTCACAGGATCTCTGTGCTACAATACACATTGCAGAATTGCATCAGGTAAGACAGGCCTCGTGGAAGATATAGAACTGTCAGGACCACGGACAGCGCAAAGCAGATACAACAAGCAGGAGTATTCAGATACAACAAGCCGTATTCCCCTTACAAGAACTGTTCAGGAAAGGCCTGTAGGAGAGAGCAAGGCTGTTATGGTCTGGTATTTAAATTGCTCCACCCCATAAGATGCATTGTGTGCTTTCCTAAAGCACCTGTCAGTATTTAGCCTGGGAAAGAAGAGGAACGTTGGGAGGTAGGAGGTACAAGATTACAGCACAAGACTTCCTCGTGACGAACCCAAAGGCATAACCATTCTGGAAACAGATGCCTGCCAGGAATTCTGTAGGTACAAGATTCTTGCACTGATGACTCCCATAACTTCCAAAACAATATATCTTGGAGCAAAGTGTGGTGCTAACAACATCACTGGTACTTTCCATTTTTTATGGTAAATCCGTGGAAATGTATCCATTTCTTTTATCTTAAAATACGCATATATATACACACACACACACACACACACACACACACACACACACACATATTCTAGCTTACAAAATATTCTAGGTTACAAAATGCATATTGTAAGGTGAAAGAAATGGATACATACTTACAGATATATTGTACATATGCAAGTAAAGTAGATCAGTCCCATGGAGAGATAGGTGGCAAATAAATTTAACTAATATATGTATATCTGTATGTCTCTCAGTGTGTATTTGTTGAGTGCATACATATAGGGTGTATGTGTGTGTATGTGTGTGTTTATGGAGTGTTTACAAAGCTGGGTATTCTTTGGAAAGCATCAAAACATGCTGTACAAAGCATATGTGTTAGAAAAAAATGTGTGATTTCTCATGCAGTGGTTTAAGGGAATATACATTGATGTTAATTCTTATGGATTGTACCTATAGGTAAATATGCATGAAATTGGCCTAGACTGCTAAAACATTATTTGTCAATCATTTGTCTTAATTAGAAATTTAAGTGGAAATCTTCTAGAATTGCCAGTCCTGCACAAATTATTTGGTGGTAGTAACCAGGGATCAAGCCAGTTCTAAGGCAAGCCCAGTTCTGATTTTGACTTGAAGAAACATTTGATCCAATGTGCAGTTTAATACCAGACTAATTTCATCCAAGCTGAATCAATGTCCTGAATTAGATCTGAACCATTATTTAAAAGTTCAGCTGGAATCGTTTGACCCTTTGATATTACTACAGCCACTAACAGCAATTGTAGTAATGATACTGTGTAGCTAACTTCTCTATTGTAGGGATTTACCTCCCCAAAAAGCACTATGATTTTTCTAACATGCAAGCAAGATCTTGAAGTTTTTTTATTTATTTTTATTTATTTGATTTGTTAATTGCTTACAATATAATAGGTATAAGTACAAACCTATACTTATAAGTAACAATACAGGAAAGAGGTACAAATAAATGGGGACAATAGGACAGGGACAGTAGGCACGATTGTGCACTTATGCACGCCCCTTGCAGACCTCTTAGGAATGGGGTGAGGTCAATAGTGGATAGTTTGAGATTAAAGGAGTGGGGGTTAGAGGATGTAACAACAGAGTCAGATAGTGCATTCCAGGCAGGGACCACTCTGTTGCTGAAGTCGTATTTTCTGCAATCAAGATTGGACCAGTTTACATTGAGTTTGTATCTGTTGTGTGCTCTTGTATTGTTGCAATTGAAGCTGAAGTAGTCATTGACTGGTAGGACATTGTAGCAGATAATTTTGTGTACTACGCTTAAGTCCAACCGTAGGGGGCATAGTTCAAGATTGTCCAAGCCCAAAATTTCAAGCCTGGTGATGTAGGGTGTTCTGTTGCGAGCAGAGGAATGTAGTACTCTTCTCGTGAAATACTTCTGGACTCACTCGACTGTATTAATGTCTGATATACAGTGCAGATTCCAGACTTCTAGATTCAAGTTTTACAACATGTACCTCTTCATAGAGTTATACACAGGGCAAGAAGCAGAAGTGTGTGCCAAGGAATGAAAGAATGGGGGAGAATTATCTCTGTTTCCTGCTTACAACTATGCTTAGTGCTAGTATTATGGAGAGGGAGGCATTTAATACCACATATTGCCTGCCACAAAACTTAAACATATTCCTTTCCTTCACTGCAAGTCTAAAGGGACTAAAATCATGTCACAATTCATAAGCACTGATGCACTTTATGGAAGCTTGCCACAGCCTCAAAGAATTAACAGTTCATACATTCCAAAGTCAGGGGAAATGAAGTCATTAAATCCTAAAAGCAGCACCAGGGAGCTCAGGAAATAGAAAAGGACATATGGGTCATTAGACAGATAGTATCCATTTTAGTCTGGTGCCATTATCTTTCAACAGAAAGGAATACCCCAGACCTTGCTTCATATTTCCATCTAACCATATTGCCAAACATCTCCTCGATTTAAGAGAAGCGGTCAAGTGGGACCCCAAAAGCTAAAAAGTATGGAACAACAACAACAACAAAAGAATTCCTGACTGCCTTTACTGGAATAAAGCGGTGTTGTTCTCATGGTTAACTAAATGAGATTGTCGGATAGAAGGGACCCAGAGCATCCTTCTATTATCCATCTATTCCGAAGCCCCTGGCACCAGAACAGGTAGAGAAGAATCCCAATTAACCCATGCATTCTAGGGAAGACTAGGGAAGAGAACTGGTATTGATCTCGAGGGGGTCCCATACATAAAGTAGAGGTCCCTGGTGCTTTCTGAGCTTGCTTGTTTTCTGACAGATCTTTTCATCACCCAAACTAGGTAACATCATCACTGCTAGAAGAAAGTGAGGTATGAGGAGAGGAGGAGGAGGATTGTGGGGTCCTTGGTGCTCTCATTTCATTATCCAACTAGGTAACATTATCAGTGCCCTTCATTACCTCATTTGGTAATGAAACATCTACAAGGAAACTCATCAAACTTAGAGAGCACCAATGACCTCTCATTTCAACCCTGAGCTTACAGATATTCTCCTTTATTGGTAATACATAAAAGAGTTAAGATATTTCACTTTCCCAGGGATATGGCAGATTTTACTACTTATCATCAGTCAAATGTTTGATCACCTTCCCAGAAAGTTAGTTTTTCTTCGACCCAAGCGCAGACTGACCTAGAAAATGGCAGCTTTGTTTTCCTAAATTTATTCTGTTCCGGACCTTGCATGCAGCCTGCTTGCTGCCTCTTTCCTTGATGTTCTTGAGTAGATGCTCTCTAATCAAGTAAGCGCTGCTGAGTAGTCTCATTGCCAAGGAGTTATTTTCCTGACTCCTTTCTCACTCATATACAAAAACAGTATCTTTTAAAGCAGTGGTTGCCAACCGATGGGCCGCGGCCCACTGGTGGGCTGTGAGAAAATGTTGGTGGCCCACAGAGAAATCTTACTCCCAGAGCACCCCCACAAAGCAATTACTCCAGGCTGTGCAGAAACACGAGGCTGCTCTGCCCACATGGCCTGTGGGAACCCTCCTCACTCACTCACTCCTTACCCAGTAAACTTGCCTGCTAAATTGCTATTTTTCCTTTTTCCGACCCTCATCTGTTCTGCTGTGCTGGGAGATTTAGATTAGCTAGGAAGTAGGAAATGGTTTCTTGCTTTCTAGCTAGTCCTTAAATCTTCGGCTCAGCACAGCCGAACCTCCCTTAGGACCAAAGGTTTGCTTGCAAGCAAATTCAGTGCAGACTCACGGCAAGCAAATTTGAGAGACTGAGATAGCCGATGGCAGATAGATAGATCTCTGAATGAATCTGTGATTCTGTGAGCAACTCAATCTGCCTGCCTGCTTTGCCTGCTTTTGGGTAAAAGTTGCTCTTTTTTAAATACAAAATTCAATATTTACATGCATGGTGTGTTGTGAGTTAATTTTGTGAGTTTGCTTGCAAGCAAATTTTATGTGACAGATAGATAGATCTCTGAATGAATCTGTGATTCTGTGAGCAACTCAATCTGCCTGCTTTGCCTGATTTTGGGTAAAAGTTTATAAAAAATTCAATATTTATATAAATATTTATAATATTTAGATACAAGCCATGCCCAGCCAGTCACATGACCACCAAGCCACACCCACAAATTAGGCCACGCCCACAGAATCGGTTAGTGGGCCCTGGGATCTAAAATTATGAGTTTGGTGGTCCCTGAGGTCCAAAAGGTTGGCGACCCCTGTTTTAATACAGCGTTTGGTTTTTAAAATTACACACTGCAACAAGTCAATGACAAAATGGGAAATTAGACTATTGACTTAGGCATACTGATACGTGATAAATTACAGAATCATTTATTTACACCCTAAGGGAAAAAAAGACATGATTTGGGCAGGATTTTCAAAACCACACAGCAGTGGAATGATGAGAAAAACATGCAACGGTGACTTTGATCCAAAGAACATCAAACCTAGAGGGAATCTGAAATGTATTCTTTGTCCAGAAATTCTGGGGGGTGATCAGGCCCCACAATAAAGCCAAGCCTTTCTCAAAACTCAGTTTGAAGCCTCCATTAGTGGCATCGATTCAACTTCTTTTGAACGCCACCTCTCTCTTGGATACAAAGAAAAAATTTGAACCCTATCTTCTTGAACCCTCTCCTTTCCAGCCAGATTCCTGATGCTTCCATATTGCAGGCAGGATCCCAATTTTCTGAACCTTTATTTCAGAAAGGAGCTGCCCACTTTCTGATCTTCCCCAAAATGTAGGACTGGAGATATTATTATTTTTTTGCCCTCCAAACAATCCAACTGCTGAACCACAGAAGTTCAGCCAGGAAAAATATCCAGATTTAGCAGATGAATTTGTCTATTTTGGTATTTAACTCTCCTTCAAAGGCCCCAGTTTTCTATGAATTTTATCTTTCTTTCACAAGGAAAACAGACAAATCAGAAATGGAAACAGATTACAAGTGGAATATACTTTTCTGAAAGTGACTGGCTCATCATTTGCCCAATGGAAGTAAGAACGAAAAACAAATAAATTTTTTTTGGCTATGAATGAGCACAATCATCAAGTTATTTTTCATTGTTTTATGTGTGCCAGCATTCTCTTTTTAAAAATACCCTCCAATTCAACATTTGAATAATGGTGGTGGTCCAGGAGCGAATAGTTCTAATTTATGAATTTATGGATGCGTCATAGAATAGAATAAATAGAATAGAATAGAATAGAATAGAATAGAATAGAAGAGAAGAGAAGAGAAGAGAAGAGAAGAGAAGAGAAGAGAAGAGAAGAGAAGAGAAGAGAAGAGAAGAGTTGGAAAGGACCTTGGAGATCTTCTAGTCCTACCCCTGACTTAGGCAGGAAATCCTACACCACTTCAGACAAATGGTTATCCAATCTCTTCTTAAAAACTTCCTATGTTGGGAGCATTTACAATTTCTGGAGGCAAGTTGTTCTACTGATTAATTGTTCTGCCAGGAAATGTCTCCTTAGTTCTAAGTTGCTTATCTCCTTGATTGGTTTCCACCCATTGCTTCTTGTCCTGCCCTCAGGTGCTTTGGAGAATAGCTTGACTCCCTCTTCTTTGTGGCAGCCCCTGAGATATTGGAACACTGCAATCATGTCACCCCTAATCCTTCTTTTCATTAGACTAGACATAACCCAGTTCCAGCAACCGTCCTTTATATGTTTTAACCTCTCTTTAAGTTTGGTCCTTTGTCTTGAAACTATAAATCACAAAGCCAACAAAAACAATAAAAATAGAAATTATTTATTTCTATCTGTCCATCTACACAGAAACAGAAACAGATACAGAGCAAAATATATAAACACATACAAAATAAGAATTATAACAGCTGTTTGTGGGTATTGGTTTTTTTTGTTGGTTGTGCCTTCAAGTCAGTCTGGACTCCTGACGATTCCCCAGATAAATCCCTGTAGGGTTTGGGTTTTTTTTGGCAAACTTCTTCACAATTGGAAAATTATTGCATTCTTCCTAGGGCTAAGAGAGTGTGACTGGCCCAAGATCACCAACTGGCTTTGTACCTAAGATGGAACTAGAATTCCTAAATCTCCTGGTTTTCTAGCCTGATGCCATCATTATCACATCAAACTGCTTTTCATTTAGGCGTAGTGGTTAAGAGCAATTAGAAGCAAATCACTTCCAAACACTTAAGAAACTTTAATCCAGGGAGTCAACATTGACTCAAAGGCATCCTCCCCTCCCTTCCCAAAGGGATGTTTACTTAATTGAATTTTTCTCTTAAAGTTCATCTTTCAGATCCTTGCATAATTCTCCCAGGAGTCAGCCTTACATAACAGAACAACAACTTAACACGAACCTTTCCCAAAACAAACTCAAAATTATTCTAGGTTCACTTAAATTGGCGTAATCCACAGTTAACAGTCCCTTGATGATAACATAGGACAATATGGAGGATAAACATCACATATTTGAGTGGCTGGAGACTTACTTTTTTCTGAGGAAAGGTGAGTCTTGGTTTGCCCTCTCACCAGTCGGCAGGTGGAACCATCACCTGAGCAGACCCCACAGTTGTCTTCTTTGGCGAGACTCCCAAGCTGTCGATCACAACCTACGGCCTGCCAATAACAACACTGGAGTCAGAAGAGCAAAACGGACACAGGCCGCTTAGTTTTCTAGAGCAAAAACATCATATTCCCCCTTTCTCAGTTGCCTTCAGTCCCCCGCCCATCCACCCCCAAAAGCACAATTTGGCTTCTTAACATTTCAGCAGGAAAAGTGCTTCAAAATAATTATTCCTTAATGGATTTAAGTTTTAGGCCAGGACAATTAAACTCTTCTGGTGTGTCTCTACCGAATAAAATATTTAAAATGTCTATGTTAGTCAGAGAAACACTATTCTGTCTCCCAGCACTTAAAAGTCAGAATCTCCATCACTGTGAGGTTAAAGACATTTCTTGTCATCACATCCAAAACAATAAAGCCTAATTATTCCCTTTGGGGAATTATTCATTTCTAGACTTCTCTGCAACTAAGGCCCAAGATATTGGATCATATCAGTGACAGCAATATCACTCTCAATAGTCCTATTGCAGTTTTGAGGTCCTTATAAGTATCTCTGTGCAGTCCCCAAGTAACAAAATTCAATTTAAGCAGCTTACTGTTGCATTTCATTTCATACTCAATTTCTCAACTTCTTTCCCTGCTCCAAGTTTCTAAGTCTATTTCAATTAAAAAATGTGAGGGGGGTATAATGCTCAGAACAAGCCCCACAAAGATCAAGTGGATGGTTTAAATCACAATTCAGGTTCTCTCCCATTGATTCGGTATATCTACCAATCTGTAATCTGATTCTACCTTAATCCAACCTAATGGTTTTATTCAACAAAACTTTTATGCATCTAGCCCTCATTCCTTTCTTCCTACATGCAACAGGGAGAAAATTAAATTAGGAGGAAAATCTTATTTGAGGGAAAAGGACCCCTTAACCTTAGAGTAATTTCATCCTACTTCTGTATCAGCTTGTCAGTCTACAACTTCAAAAAAAAAAAAA